TGATTGTTGTTGTTGTTATGTGCCGTGGAGTCGGTTCCAACTCATAGTGACCCTACAGAGGGTTTCCGAGGCTATAAATCTTTACGGGAGCAGAAAACCTCATCTTTCTCCTGTGGAACAGCTGGTAGTTTCAAACTGATAACCCTGAGTTAGCAGCCCGATTCTTAACATCTACGCTACCAGAGCTCCTTTAACTAATTGGAATACCTAAAATGGGGCTACCACGTGCCCAGTAAAGGAGGCTTCCTGTGGAGCCTCTGTATTACCTAAGACCATTGGTGGAATCCTGAATTGCATCCAAAATCTTCTTAGGTGGGAAATTTCCACTTGTAAGGACAAGCAGACTAGCTTGGAGCAGCTAGAAGAACAGAAGATTCTTCTTGAAAGAAAGACCGACAGGAAAAATACAAAACAATATAGGCAATCCAACTGATTACTACGAGAAAAAGCAAGTTGCTCGCACAGGAGACATCAAGGCAAGTGGTTGGGTCCCCTCAGGGCAAACCTCCTTACAAGACTAAGACTCAATGGGAATACACGCTCTGATTGGTAACCACGTTTGTCACAGATAAGAGGAAGTGTGGGAAAAACATCAATGAAGCTGTGAGTTAAGCCCTACAACGTTCAATAGACTTCTGTGAACCCAGGTGGAGAACTGGTTGGCCAGCAGTGTGGCAAGACCTGGGGACTCTTGGGCCCAGAGTCAGTGACATAGTCACAGAGGACTAGAGTGGAGAGTGAAGCATCCAGCTGATAAAAAGAGAGGCCATATGCATAAGAACACCCACACTTGCAGATAATACCCTCTTGACCTAGCTTCAATGACTGGATGATCAGAGCTCAACTAGAAGAAGAAAAGGAAAAAAAGAGTAATCTGATACAATTTGATGAACTTGACCTACATCTATGGATGCTCAAAAGAGGGAACAAATCTTTACAGCGGGGATCATTCCCACCCCCTCATACACAGAGTAGACAGGGATGGGCAACTTGGACATTGGCTACCCAAAATGGGGGCGCTACAAAGGCAAGATGTGACTGGCTTACAAGCTTTCAAGAGGGAGCCTAGATCCAGAGAGTGTGGAGGAAGGTAGAATCTCCACTGAGTAGTATCAAATCTGTCTGGGCAGGGCTGATGAAAGAAGATGCAGATAGGTCTCTTGTGATACAACAGTGAATAATTGTTATCAGGACTGATTGTGAGGGTTGGAAATGTAAAGGTGGATGTTTTGTAGCAAAAGGAAGGGAGTGATTGACTTTGCAGTCTAGAAGCAGAGGTCCCTGGGACCATTAGGGGAGAAAAGCGGAGAGCGGGACCCTACCCAGAGAAGCAGTGATGCCCGAGATGGAGGCAGAGACGATGACATGGAGAGATGGAGCAGCTGGGGACATTAGACACAGAGAGGGAGAGGGGCTGTGTCCTGACGACTGGGTGGGGGCAGGCTTGCAGGGTATCCCCTTTGGTTGGTTTGATGATGCATGGAGGGGATTGTAACCATGGCAATGAAACGATATACGGTAGGACGAATGTAAAGCTAATGTTCTCCCATGTAAACTGTAAACTATCTCAAAATTCACAATAAAACATTTACAAAAAAAAATCAAATAAATTAGATTACATGTCAGATGGTGTCAAAATAGAACGAAGTAGGGAGATAAGGAGTCTTAAACCAATTACTTACTGCCATTGATTCTGATTCACAATGACCCTGTATAGGGTTTCCAAGGAGTGGCTGGTGGGTTTGAACTGATGATCTTGCAGTTAACAGTCCAGTGCTTATTGTACAGCGCCATACCAGGACTCCTCATGGCGACCCTGTATAGGGTTACTGAGGCTGTAACTCTTCACTGGTAGGTTTGAACTGTTGACCTTGCTGCAAGTAGTCCAGTGCTTATCCCACAGTGCCACCAGGGCTCCAGCGACCCTATACCAAACCTAAAACCCACAGCTGTCTAATCGAGTCTCATGAATAGCTAACTCTGTATAGAGTTTCTGAGGTTGTAAATCTTTAACGGGAGCAGAAAGCCTCATCTGTCTCCCACAGAGTGGCTAGTAGTTTTGAATCACTGATTGTGTGCTTAGCAGTCCAGTGCTTACCCTACAGCACCATCAGGCATCCTTACAGTGATCCTATGTTGTTGTTGTTAAGTGCTGTTGAGTCAGTACCGACTCACAGTGACCCTGCATAGGGTTTCTGACGAGCCACTGGTGGGTTTGAACTGCTGACCTTATTGTTTGTAGTCCAGTGCTGATCCTACAGTGCCATACCAGTGATCCTATAGGACAGAGTGAAACTGCCCCTATGGGGTTTCCAACGCTATAATTCACGTCTGTCATATCTTTCTCCTGCGGAAGAGCAACTGGTGGATTTACACACCTACCTTTTGGTTCGCAGGCGAGTGCTTTTAACCACTGCACCCCTAGGACTCCGAAGGAGTCTTAAACCAAAACCAAACCCACAGCCCTCAAGTTGATTCTGACTCATAGTGACTCCACAGGACAGGGGCAGACCACCTCACCTTTTACCTGAGGAGCAAGTGGCTGGTGGGTTTAGACCACTGACTTTGTGGTTAGCAACCAGTACCTAACCCACTGTGCCACCAGGGTTCCTTTGAGGAGTCTTAGGAGGTTTCGGGAGTTCTGGTGTGGCGCTGTGGGATAAAGCACCGGACCACAAGGCTGGTTAGAACCACAAGTGTCTCTTGAGTCTGAACCAACTCAACGGACAGCACTTAACAATAACAACAGGGGGATCAGTTAAGGCCTCTCAGAGGAGGTGAAAGGCATGAGGGAGGGAACCCAGTGGATATCTGGGGGATGTTCTGAGTGAAGTGGGAGCCATGGAGGGTTCCAAGCAGAGGAGAGACCTGGCCTGATCCGGCTGCTCACAAGCACCCTCTGAGGGGAAAACAGACTGTGGAGGCACAGATGGGAGCCAGGAGACCAAGGAGGCGGTAACAGCACCGCTCCAGGAAAGCGGTGATAGAGGCTGGACCAGGCTGGAGGCAAAGCAGAAAGTCATCTCAGTGACATGACAAGAAGTACTAAGATTTGCTGAGTTTGTCTCCCCAACTGGCCTGCAAGCTCCTTGAGAACAACCCTTTCTTTCGTCTTGTCCATCTTGTCCCTTCATGCCCCTTAGTTTCCAATACAGAGTAGGGGCTCAGTTCTTCCCAAAATATGAATAAATCCAAACGAGCTGGCGTAGGGTCAACGCCAAGTAATGGCGGCCTCGTATAGATCAGAGTAGAACTGTGCTCCATAGGCCCTTCAAGGGCAGATCTTTCAGAAGCTCGCCAGGCTTTTCTTCCCAGGCACCTCTGGCAGCACTCAAACTGCCAACATTTCATTTAACAGAGTACATTAACCTTTATAGCACCCAATTCATAGCAATACTATGGACTCCTGGTAAGGCGCTGTAGGATCAGCACTGGATAAAGAATCACAAGGTTGGCAGTTCAAACCCACCAGCTCTTCCTCGGAAACTCGATACACAGTTGCTATGAGTCAGCACTGACTCGACAGCCCTTAAAGAGGACAGAGAAAAACTGCCTCACAGGGTTTCCAAGGTGGTAATCTTTATAGAAAACTGTCACATCTTTCTCCTGTGGATTTGAACCAGCGACCTTTCATTTAGCAGCTTTGCTACTGCACCACTAGGGCTCCTTATAACAGGAATTTAAAACAAGAACAAAACAAACCACTGCCATCGAGTCGATTCCAAAAACCAACAGAACCTCAAGAGAAAGAAAAGTCTGCGTGGGAACCGAGGTCTGACAGGCGTCTGGTGGGAGGGGCAGAGCGCGCATTGTTAACCACCGTGGCCCTGGCCCACCTTGACCATGATCTCCACACGGCTGTGAGAAAACTTCTCAATGACGGACTCGATCCAGATCAGCGGCTTGACCTGCGGACAGAGGTGGAGGACGTCTTCAAGGCTCTAGCCCTCATCATTCCCCGACCACAAGACTTGATCTCGCCTCACCTGTGTGCTGAGGCGGTAGGACATGAGCTCAAAGTCACCGTCAGGTGGGATGAAGGAGATGGTGCGGTCGTTGTCAAAGCGCGAAAGCCGCACACACTGGTGGAACTTGACGTCCTCCAGCTCCACAGATTTGTTCTTGCTGCCTGAAACTCAGAGCGGAGCATGTAGGGTCACCCTGGGGGCCAGCCATCAAGCATTTATCAAGCACCTACTGTATACCTGTGAACAAAGCAGACTGAGAGCCCACTTCCCTTGCCCACCACTAGCACTCTACAAATGAGGAAACTAAGACCCAGAAAGGGTGCCTCCCCCAGCTGGTAAAGGTAAGAGCTGGGATCTAAACCCAGGGAGTCTTGCTACCGCAGTTAGATTTTTAAATAGCGATCTATTCTGTTCCCTCCTCTCACGAGAACAGCAGCTCCATGAAGACAGGTTTGTTTGTTTTCTTCTCTGCTGTGTCCCTAGAGCCTAGAGAGCCACACACAGCACACAGCAGGAACTAAATAAATGATGAATGAAAGAAGAAATGGTTGCCCTGTGAACCAGTAGTTACAATATTAGCTAGGACCAGCAGAGGGCACACGAGCGCTTATTTCAGCACCAGTTGCAATTCCTCTGAGTCCCAAGATTCCAAACTACAAGTCTCAAACTATTCCATTAGTTGGGGAGGAGGAGGGCGCCCATATACTTACGGCCTGTGAGTTCAAAGAGCACGCGGTCGTTGAGGCCGAGCCTCAGCTCTGGCATTCCCGACAGAAACACCTTGAGTTTGATGGTACCCACGATCTCACTTAGCAGGACGCTGCCATTGGCATTGACCTGGAAATGTATACATGGGTGGGGATGGGTGGGTAGTGTTAAGAGGCATTTGGTCCTCTCCCCTGCCCCAGCCCAGACCCTGGCAGAGGTGAGGGCTCACCAGCAAGTTGACAGACTCTATGACATCAATGAAGACTTCATTCTTCTTGTATTTGAGGCCCTCTGAGCGCCAGGACACCGCATTGGTGACAGTGGGAGGCACTCGAGACTTGCCCGTCTCCAGCTTGTTGCCCTGCTGGGTGATGTACCTGGCAGGAGGGCAGTGGGGGCGAGCACTGGACCAGGGACATCTCCCTGGCCCTCCCTGAGTTCCCTCCACCAGCGGCCCAGTTCACAGCTGCCCCAGTGGTTCACTCACTCCTGCAGGATCTTGCTGTCGGTGGTCTGGGGGAAGCCGAAGTCCATGAGCTCATCCAGAAGCTCATAGACTATGACAAAGTTGTCTCGGATGCTCTCTTCCTCCAGCTCCTTGAAGTATTCTGAAAACACCTATTGCCAGGGGTGGGGAGAGGCAGACACCCATAGAGGTGTGATTTGTGGGGCTGGGGCTATGGGCTGGGCCTCCACTCTTTTAGTCAGTCATCCAACAAGCATTTATTGAGCACCTACTGTATGCCTGTGCAAGGAAGTCAATGTTGAACAGAGCAAGTAGGGGTCCTGCCCTCAAGGAATAGTCTAGTGGGAGAGAATAAATAGATCAAATGACCAATATAACCCACAATGTTGGGTGCAACTATGAGAACCCACAAGATGAGGGAAGACTTCCTGGAGGAGGCCTTAGAAGGTCTTGGAACCATTTTTGTGGGCTCTGGACCCCTGTGTTATTGGGTGATCTCTATGAATCCACCTGTTGTTGTTGTTGTTTTTGTTGTTGTTAAGGGTTGTCAAATCAGTTCCAACTCATAGCAAACCTGTATAGGGTTTCCAAGGAACAGCTGGTATATTTGAACTGCCAACCCTGCGGTTAGCAGTTCAGTGCTTATCCTACAGCGTCACACCAGAACTCCCAGAATAAAGTTAGTAAGTGCATAAAATAAAATACACAGGATAGCAAAGGAAACTCGTTAGCAGAAATACATCCAAGTGGTCCTTGGGGACCTACAAATATGGGTTAAGAGTCCCTAGGAAAATGGTACAGCCAGTGTGTGGAAGCCACTTTGGCATCTTCTTCAAATGTAACCCAGAAATCCCACTCCTCCGTGTCTATTCAGAGGAAATTAAGGCAGGAATGACAATAGAAACCTGTCTGTACATCAAAGCTCATAGCAGTACTTTCCACAATAGCCCAAAGGTAGAAACAACAGAGATGCCCATCAGCAGCTGAATGGAAAAGCACAATGTGGCACAGCCAACAGTAGACATGAGATCCTGATGAATGCCACAACACGATGAATCTTGAAACTCCACTGAGCAAAATCAGTCCATTGCAAAAGGACAAATACTATATGATCTCACTTAGATGAGATCCTACATACAGAAACCAAAGATGATTACTGTATGCCTAGGGTGGAAGGGAGAGAGTAAGGGCAAGTTTTTGCTTAGGGGGCATAAGGAAGGAGAGGTAGATCACTTCTGAAAGGTTAGCCACTAAAATCTTATGAATGACGGTAGATCGTTATCTGATAGAGTGCTGGAAAGTGAGCCTCTCAAGTTTGTAGGCACTCAAAGTAGAGTTGACCTTCATAATGTAGATGGAGTCAAGCTTTCTGGACTTTCACTTACTTGATGGGGTACCACTTAAAATGAGAAGCAGCAGCTGCAAACATTCATTAATAATTGGAATGTAAGAAACATGAGTCTAGGAAAATTGGAAATCATCAGAAGTGAAATGCAACACATAAAGATCAATATCTTAGAGAACAAACAAGATGGCGGATCAGGTGGCAGTGCAGTGAAGAACGCCATCAAAAAGAGTACAGAATGCCAGACCAAGCACGCTCAGGGGATGGTGCCAGAAGTCTGAACCATAAATAGGACTATTTAGAAGGTTGGAAGGCTTACAGCTAAGGAAATTTGTAGCAGAAGCAAGAAATCCATTGTTTTCTAATTCAAGATGCTCAGCTGCTCCCAGAGCCTGACGGGGGAGATACAGGTGTGGACATTCCTTTTTTTTTTTTTTTTTTTTTTGGTAGCTGTTCATTGGTCTCTCGCTGTCTGCTCACTTCCATTCTAGTGACTAGAGGGGGTGCCTGAGCAAGTGGACACCCCACCCCCACTCCCAGAGGGTTCTACTACACATGTGTACAAATCTCCTCAAGATTTAAAGTGACAGTTTCCACTTAAAAACAAATAGCCAGAGCTGGCCCTGAACAGTTTATCACTAGGAAAAAGACCTGAACGGGGATTGTGGAGCAAGACAGGCAGGCTAAAAAGGAAATAGGCCAAAAATTAAAGCCTGAGTTACGTTACAATGACCAACATTGGCATCTTGAAATTTCTCAGGAAGAAGAGTGAAAAGAGAAGCCCATCTCCTGATCACATCTACCTGGAGATGATCAAAAACCATAAAAAATACCAAAATACACATTCATCTAAGCATTAAGACCACAGATAACTCCTGAATATGCCCCAAAACAGAAGCAGATGACAATATCAGCACACGTCCAGAAACGAAATAAAGTGACTAAAGCAAATGAGCTGGAAGTAGTCCTACACTCCCTATCGGAAGATGAGCAGGCTTTCAAAATGCCTGAGAAAGAATTCATAAAAATGATTATAAAATGTATCAAAACACTATAAAATGGAGTTGAGAAAAATAAGGAAGAAGCCGCGAAAGCACTACAGAAACAATCAAATAAGATAGATACAGCATTGGAAACAATTCAAAATCTACAGAAAGAGGTCCAAATGATTAATAATAGAATATCAGAAATGGACAATACATTGAAAGGGCAAAGGAATAGAATTGAAGAGATAGAGGATAGAACTAGTGAGCTAGAAGATAACCCTCTCAACACTACTAAGAAGAGCAAACACAAAAAAGGATTTAAAAAATTCTGAAGAAGGCCTAAGGTTCATGTTGGACAACATGAAGTGGAATAATTCAGAATTATTAACATTCCAGAACAGGAAGAATCACACAAGTCCACAGAGGAGATAGTTGAAGAGCTTCTGGAAGAAAATTTCCCTAACATCCTGAAAAGGGAAAAGATAAGCATTTAAGAAGCTCAACGAACCCCAGGATGGATAGACCCTAAAAGACAATCACCAAGGTATATAATAAATAAGCTCTCCAAAATCAAAGATAAGGACAGACTCCTGAAAGCAGCTAGGGAAAAGAGAAGTGTAACATACAAAGGCAAGCAAATCATATTAAGCTCGGATCTCTCAACAGAAACCATGCAGGCAAGAAGGCAATAGGGAGACATTTATAAAACCCTGAAAGAAAAAAACTGCCACCCAGCAAAGCTGTCAATCAAATACAAAGGTGTAATCAAGACATTCCAGGATAAACATAAGCTAAGGGATTTTGCCAAAGCTAACCGTGCTATGAAAAACATCCTAAAGGAAGTTCTGTAGACAAAGAACCAACAAGCACAGACAACTAGAGAATAACGTACGTGGCAACATCACCATGAATTCAATCAACAAATGGAAGAGCCAAGAACAGAATAAAATTATAAGAACAGAGGATCTGGGAGGTCAGTCTATGATAAAAACAGTTACAATGTGAAAGAAGGTAAACACAGAGGAACAGAGATCCAGGTGGTGGGAAGATCAGGTAGATTATAGGATAAAATAGATGGTCTTAAATGGAGGGAAGAATTAATGGAATATAAGGTGACCACAACAATGGGGTTGGAGTGGGGGGTTTAGTTCAGATGTTGGGGAGGGCAATACAAGAAGGGGGAGGAGGTGGAAGAACAAGATAGATAGGGGAAAACTGAGACAGATTTACATGTCCTAAGTGGGACAGAGGTAAATAATGATACACGCTCAACCTTAGAACAACAGGGCTCTGGGATACAGGGATCTAGGTATAGCTTGAAGAGGGGAAATAATACTAAAATGCTTGACTGTCTTATGAATATTAGTTTCCCTTGCCCACTATTGTAAACTAGACAGTTGAGTGGGATAGAAAGGAATGTTGGGAAACATGATTAGAGAAAACTTGTAAGCCTATCTTCGCCTATAACTGATTGGAATACCTAAAAGGGGTTCTACAACTTGCTCAGTGAAATAGCCCTCTTGCAAAGCCTTTACAGAGTATAGGACCTTAGGTGGAATCCAGAGTTCCATCCAGAACCTTATGAGGTGGGACATTCCCACTAGAAAGGACAAGCAGACCAGCCTGGAACAGCTACAGTTACACATATTCAAAGAAAAATCATCAGAAAAAAACAAAACAAAAATGTCAGCATGACTGGCTACTACAAGAATAAGCAAGCTGTTATCCAGGAAGCCATCAAGGCAAGCAATCAAGTTCGTTCAGGACAAATTCCCCTCTAAGACTGAAACTCAAAGGGAACACACAAACAAGCATGTAAGCTTGCTGGTAACCACATTGGTCTACTGGTTGGTAGAAGAGGGGTAAAGGCAGCAATGAAGAAATGGGCTGAGTTCACCACAGTCCATTGACTCCCATTGACCTGGAGATGAGAGAGAGAAGAGGAAGGGCTCGGTGGTCCAAAGTGTGGTAAGACCTGAGGACACTAGAGCCCATGGACAAGGACTTAGCCACAGAGGGCTAGAGCTGAGAGTGAAGTGAGGGAGATGCACAAGAACACCTAAACTTGCAGAGAGCACCCATTTGACCTAACCTCAATGGCTCGATAATCAGAACTTGACAGGAGGAAGATTACAGTACAAAAAAAAAATTTTTTTTTTTTTTTAATAAAGAAACAAGGATAAATTGCTACAATTTGATGAACCTGACCCATACTCACGGAGGTAGGTACTCTAAATACCAACAGAGAGGGAAGGAGTCTTCACATCAAGTATCAATGCTATCCCCTCTGTACACAGGGTAGATAGGGACGGGCAACTTAGACATTGGCTACCTAAAATGAGGGGGCAATAAAGGCATGAAGTGACTGGCTTACAAGGTTTCAAGAGGGAGTTTAGTTTAAGAGTATGGGGGAAAGAAAGAGTCCCCACTGAATAGCTGTCACCTTGTATAGATGGGTCTGGTGAAAAGAGATAAGATTCATATGATTCAATAGTGAATAATTGTTATCATGACTAATTGCGACTGTCACAATTGTAAAGGTAGACGTTTTGTAACAAAAATGGGTGTGGTTAATCTTACAGTCCAGAAACAGAGGACCCTAGGACCATCAAGGGAGAAGCACACAAGCAGAATGCAGGACCTTACCCAGAGAAGCAGTAATGCCAGAGACGGAGACAGAGATGGGGTCATGGAGAGGGGGAGTGGCTGAGGACTCTAGATTCATGGGAAGAGAAGGACTAAGAGCTGGTGACCAAAAGGCAGACTTGCAGAATGTGCCCTTTGGAGATACAGATTATTATATATGCCTGAGTGTTCTGTT